CCATGTTGACCAGGATGGTCTCGATCTCTTGACCTCGTGATCCACCCGCCTCAGCCTCCCAAAGTGCTGGGATTACAGGCGTGAGCCACCGCGCCCGGCCTCAAAATGATTTTTAATCTTCACACTTTGACTAGTAAAAGTGAGTCCTCATAAACACATCAAGGCTTGGGGTAAGAAGAAATCTTCAGTATGCTATGAGGTATCAAACTCTGGGGGAAAGCAGATATGAAGAGACTTTGCTCTTTCGTATGGGTCTATCTGAAGCCTGAATTTTTGATACCAAAAGCTGGTCTCAGTGTACTCAACAAAGTGGGTAGAAAGTAACAGTAGTGACTCCCCTCCCAGATTCCTCGCTCTGTTATTATTGTCACTAATTACTGTCCCACGCATAAAATATCATTTTGGACCTGCTGGAGCCCAGTGCATTGAACCCAGGCAAGGCACAGGGGAGAGGAGGGAATACTGGTGGTCTGCAGGTAGAGAGCCATGGTAATATGAGCAGCCTCCAAAGACAGGCCACAGACAGATCTAGAGGGGCCAGAAGAAGAGCTGGAGCAAAACTCAGGGCACCAGACTAAGGAAAAAGGGTGTGGAAGGGAGAGCAGGAAGGAGACAAAACCCTAGAGAGCATCCTTGAGCACTGTAGCATGCCACAGGCTCCAGCAGTCGGGGAAAGAGACATGCAGATATGGAGCTGGCATGGGACTGCCACACCACATAGTCATGGGCTGTCAAGGTAAGTGGCAAAGTAGCTAAGCCAGGCTGCACTCCCTGCTCAGTATTGTCACACACTGGGCTGGCAACCCCACGAAACCACACCCAGCACCATGTTCTCCCTCAACCTAGCTTTGGTTGTTCTTTAGTTTCTTGAGGCTTCTGTAACAAATTACCACAAGTGTAATGGTTTAAAACAACAAAACTTTATTATCTCACAATTCTGGAGGCTTGAAGTCTGAAATCAAGGTGTTGTCAGGGTCGGTTTCTTTTAGAGGCTCTGAGGGAGAATCTGTTCATCCCTCCCTCCCAGCTTCCAAAGGGGCTTCCTGGATTTGTAGCCACATCACTGCGGTCTCACCTGTCTGCATGTTGCCTTTTCCTCTGTGGGTCTCTGTCTGTCTCTTAAGGACACTTATGGTCACATTGAAGGCCCACCTGGATTATCTGGGATAACCTCCTTGTCTCAGGATCTTTAACTTAATCAAGCATGTGACCATAGAAGGTAATATTCATTCCTTCCATGGATTGTGACATGAATACATCTTTTTGAAGGGCCACAGTTCCACTTACTATGCTTGTTATTATTGACAGAACAATAACCAGGCTTCTCTCCAGAATGTTCATTAACTATTGTCTGTCCTCTTGGCTTCTCCAGTTATTTGGAGTTCTGAAGTTGAGGGCACTTCACTAGAGTTCCCCTGCCAAGTAGAAACTTGAGGAAAAGATTAAATCCAACAACTGCTGAATAAATGCCCTGCCTGATATTTCTGCTGAGAATTTCTCAAGTTGATTTCCAGCAAAGTGGTAGGTTCCTGTTAAGAGGAACTAGTCCCTTTCCAACTTACAGATTTTTATTCATAATCTATCATCATTCCAAACACTTCATTGTGAGTGTGTATTATGTTCCTTCAGTACTATTTCCTGGACTGTTTTGTGATTATCTTGCTTCACATAACTGCCATCTGAAGGATGTGGTAATCCCAGGAGTTGAACTTGCAAAATAGACTCCAGGGCTGTCAGAAAGTGTCTCAGCTAAAAGAAAGAAAAAGATGTTTGTTTTAATTATGCTTCTGATGATATTTTAAGAATTTATCCTATCAAATTACTTTATGAGACCTTATTGGTACTTCAGCAGCTAAACCCCCTTGAAGAACCTTATCCTTCAATTGTACTTTAAAAAAAAAAAATGGTACTATAGTAGTAATTCAAGTTTCCATTTGTTTTCCTCCCAGGTATGTTTCCTTCTCTGATGCTTCCTTTTCTCCTGCCTCTTTTGTAATTTATTTGCCTACAATGTGCTTGTCTTCTTTGTTTTTTTTTTTTTTCCTCTTCTCCATCATCTCTTTCATACTAGAAGCATTAAGTTTTTATAAGCCAAGTGGACTTTAAAATTCATGAGGATGGCCTGTAATTCCAGCACTTTGGGAGGCCAAGGCGGGCGGATCACTTGAGGTCAGGAGTTTGGGACCAGCCTGGCCAACATGGCGAAACCTCATCTCTACTAAAAATACAAAAATTAGCAGGGCATGGTGGTGGGCACCTGTAATCCCAGCTACTTGGAAAAGTTGAGGCAGGGAGAATCGCTTGAACCCAGGATATGGAGGTGGCAGGGAGAATCGCATGAACCCAGGATATGGAGGTTGCAGTGAGCTGAGATCATGCCAGCCTGGGCAACAGAAAGAGAGACTATGTCTCAAAAATAAAATAAAAATCCATGAGGACAGGAACTATGTCTTTTCTGTTCAGTCATGTATACTCAGCACCTGGCACAGTGCTGGGCACATAGTAAATTGTTCAATAAGTAGCTTTTGGATGAATAGAGAAACAAATGGCCTTTTAGTTAAATTAATCAGCCACAGTCCTTTGAGATCTTTTTAAAAGCACATGTTCTTCCTAACTTCTACCTAATATATTTTCTAAGTTACACTTATTTCAGCTTTCTGGTTATTTGAAATCCAGGTAAGTGGATGCTTCACTGAGTATTGAAATGGTGAGCAAAGTTGCTGATGTACTCTTTTTTTACTGGGCCCCCTTACTTTCTAGGTCTGGTATGACTGTAAGACATTTGCTTGTTGGGAAGGAGGGTGTACTGTAAAGATTCCAGTAGCCTTGGACACTGTAAGTTATTTTCAGACTACTGTTTTTACCTATTGTGCTCTATTGGTCAGCTAGGGATGCCATGACAAAATACCACAGACTGGGTGATTTTACATAACAGAAGCTGCTTTTCTCAAAGTTTCGGAGGCTGGAAGTTCCAAATCAAAGTGCCAGCTGAATCTTTTCCTGGTGAGGGACTTTTCCTGGCCTATAAACTGCTACCTTCTTGCTGTGCCCCCACATGGCAGAGAGAGATAAAGAGAGGGCGCTATCTCAGTTCTCTTCTTACAAGAACACTGTTCCTGTCATTTCAGGAACCCACCCTTATGACCACATTTTTCACCTTAGTTAACATCATAAAGGCCCAATCTACAAATACCTGGGGCTTGGGGATTCAGCATATGAATTTGGAGAGATACAAACATTAACTCCATAATGTGTTCCTCTATAGAAAAAACAAGGATGCTAGCATTCTGTACAATAGCACATATAGAAACAGAAGGTAGGTCCAGGGATGCCTAGTGCTGGGGCAGAGAGTTTCCTTTTAGGGTGATGAAAATGCTTTAAAAATGATTGTGGTGATGGTTGCATGACTCTGAATGTGCTGAAAATTGTTTAACTGTGTACTTTAAGTTGGTGATTTATATGGTATATGAATTCTGACAAAGCTGTAAAATGTGAGGAAGAAAATAGTTAAAAATCACATCTACTGTGATTTCACAGAGTGAGACATCAGGGACAAACACAGCTCTTCCCTGTATGTTTACATTTGTGTGTCTAAAAAGAACAAACACTAAAAACATACAAAACATGGTAGTCACCACATGTGCCATCTGGAATGTCATTCTCCAGGACTAAGGCAAAAAACAGGAGTTTTCAGTTGTAACCCTGGGCCCAAGGAAATACATCAGTTATGGAGTTAAAATCAAAGTGGTCCATCCAGGCTGTCTTGAGTTTCTAAAGGGAACTTTCTTCCTACATCTGAATCACAACCACTGCCACACTACCACAGTGCGAAGATTGATAAGTAGATACTGATATTAAACCATCAGTAGCAATATGAACCCCATTATTTAAAAAAAATAATTTCAGCTATCAACTTTCAGATCTAGAAGAGAACTTTAACAATCATCTACTATAATCCCTCACACAGATAAAGAATAAACCTGAGATTCAGAGAAGTTAATTGTTTGACCAGGGGACACAGCAAACTTGTGGCAGAACTGAGGCAGACCCCTCAAGTGCATTTCCTTGGGCTGGACTCCCATTCTAGAGCCCATTTCACTCTAACTTATGGCCTTGTTCTTTGGGGAGAAAAATAAAAAAGAAAGGAGAGATTGGCCAATGAGGGAGACGCATGTGTGGGGAGATGGAAGTGCTTTACTTCTCGCTGCCAAGGCAAGTTAAGCAGAGGTTGGACATCTGAACTACTCTGTCCTCAATCTCAACTTCCTGCGTGTTCTTGTACTCTCCTGCCTGCTCATTCTTGAATCAAAGCAAAACAGAAACACTCCTATGACACAGGCAGCTTCCTTACAGGAGGCGGGAAACCTACCCAGGCATTGCTGCCTAGAGTGCCATTTCAGAAGACCCATGGTTATGGGCCTGTTGTTAGGGTCTCTTAAAGTACCCTTGGTGATCTCTAATATAACAGAAGCAGTTTCACAGATTTACCCTCAGAATGGAATTAGTCATCCAGGTGAGCCATAGAAACAGGGAGCAAGAAGGGGACAGACTGCAGTGAGTGAGGACAAAAGTCATCTGCCCAAACCAAAAATCCGCTATCAGTTATACATGCACACATACAAACAGACTTCTGGGCCCACTTGCAAAGACAGAAAACTTCATTCTTTAGCAGGGCTCTAGAAATAAGTATGTATACTATACTGATGGAAAATTTAAAATGCAAAATAGGAAAGGCCATTTATAGGATAGGTAGAAAAGAATTCATCACTTAAGAGGAAAAAACAGCAAAGACAGACGTAGATAACAAACCAGTGAAGGGTGGGAATTTTCCCTAATAAGTAAAAAATGGACCATTCTTTAGCGTTAGTGCTCTTTCCTTTTAATACCAGGACCCCCATATTTGCCATCTCTATGCCCTAAAATTTGTTTTGCCTATGAATCTGTACTTGTAAAGAGTGTGAAACTTTTAAAATGAAATATTTTTAAATTCTACCTTGAAATTTTCTTATATGAATACTGCTTCCCTGAGCATGCTGCTGTGTTATAGATACCAGTGTTTCAGCGAGGTGGAAGTGTGGTACCAATAAAGACAACTGTAGGAAAATCCACAGGCTGGATGACTGAATCTTCCTATGGACTCCGGGTTGCTCTTAGCACTAAGGTATTTGGAAAATCTGTTACCCTTTTTGTTTCTACTCTCTCTTTCCATTGGTAGCTTTTTGAGTTTGGGACACCACATAAAAGTGGTGAGCTCCATCTATGAGATAGGTGCTCCTGACATTTATCTAGAAATCAAGGTTTTGAATCATTTCTGTTCTGAATAATTGTTCAGCTTATCTGCTTTTCCTGGAATTGTTCTTAAGGGAACTCTGAGATCTGGGAATGACAGAATGTTCCTCTTGGGCACTTGTCTGTTGGTGCTCTTGAGCTTAACACTGATTACTACTAGAATGAATGCTTTTTGGGCCATAGGCAGCCTTCCCACATAGATAGCGCCCAAACCCAGTCTCCATTAAATGGTACCCATATCTATGCACCATTTCAGAGACCTCAGTCCCACCTAGTGATTTCTCATCAGGTAGCTCCAACAACTAAAACCAAAGCCTGGGAGGATCTAGAAATGTGTCATTTTGAGAAGATTTTTGAGCCTAGTGAGGCCTGTAGCAGATTCTTCTTCTGTCCGTTTGTTCAAATGTAATATGGGGCTAAACACACACCAAACCTTACTCTTAACTGTATTAATACTTATTTGCATTGATATAAATATTATAAGATAATTCACTTATACATTTTTTTCTTCCTTGTTACTTAGGCATGTCTTCTTGGGCCAAACTATGGGCCCCAAACCCATGTGAGGCTCCAGAATAAATACAAAAGACCAGAGATTCATAGCATATCGAGTATTGTCAATAATAATAAATTGCCATATGGAGTGCTGTGACATTGTTTGACATGTAATAGGGATCCTCCTACCAAGAAAAAACAGAAAGAACCAGATACCATTCTCTAAGTGGAGGGTCTTCTAAAGACAGTTGATCTCATCTATTATATATTGATTTTTTTTTTTAACATCAGTATCGTTCTGTGAACTTTCTTGGCCTTGTTGTCACATTCTGTTGGAGTATTTTTCAGGGAATTCACTTATACAACTGAACATACATCATAGTTTAAATTCTTTCAACAAAGCCTATCTCTTTGTGCTCCTCTTACGTGACTTTCCTATTGTTTTACTATCTACTCAGGAATGATTGGCTATTGAATATATTAGATATTTGTACGACTACCTCATATAGCTTGAATTTTTCACAAACTTTTTACTCTATTGTAACCCTTTAGGAGCTGACATTCTTTTCCTGTAAAGCTATTATATAAGCACATTCTGTCTCTGTGATTCATTCCTCAGGGTTCTTCAGTGGGTGAGTTATATCTTGATGATGGCCATTCATTCCAGTACCTCCACCAGCAGCAATTTTTGCACAGGAAGTTTTCATTCTGTTCCAGTGTTTTGATCAATAGGTAATGGCAGCTAAAGAAACTGTTTGTTTTCTTAAATAAATCACACTATCTGTTTGACATCCTCAAATCCACAGGTGATGTTTTAAGGTACTATTTAAAGAAACAAATGAAGGCCATTTCTGGAGTTTTTTGTTTGTTTTTTGTTTTTTTTTTTCTCTGAGACAGAGTCTTGCTCTGTCGCCCAGGCTGGAGTGCAGTGGCAGGATCTTGGCTCACTTCAACCTCCATCTCCCAGGTTCAGGCAATTCTCCTGTCTCAGCCTTCTGAGTGGCTGAGACTACAGGCGTGTGCCACCACACCCAGCTAATTTTTATATTTTTAATAGAGATGGGGTTTCGCCATGTTGGCCAGGCTGGTCTTGAACTACTGACCTCAGGTGATCCACCCACCTCAGCCTCTCAAAGTGCTGGAATTACGGGTATGAACCACTGCGCTTGGCCCATTTCTGGAGTGTTTTTCAACCACTCTACCATAAACGATCCTCCCTTATTGTCTCTAACTTCCTTTCCTCTACTTTCTAAAAAATAAAAAAGGACTTAATTTAAGCTCCCACTAATTCCATTCATTCATCCATTCACCAGTTCACTAAATACCTGACTTATTACAATTTAATTATCACATTCCAGTCACATTTGTAACTTTTGTGTTCTTCAGTGATTTTTCTTCAAATACTTGTTAAAGAGAGCCTAATTTGGCACCGGTTAGCTGTTCTTTGGTACATAGAGTGGTCTTTTTTTTTATTTTTCTGGGATGGAGTCTAATTCTGTCAGCCAGGCTGGCATGTAGTGGTGCAATCTCAGCTTACTGCAACCTCCACCTCCCAAGTTCAGGGGATTCACATATCTCAGCCTCCCAAGTAGCTGGGACTACAGGCACGCACCGCCACTCTTGGCTAATTTTTATATTTTTGGTAGCACCAGGAGTTTGCCATGTTGCCCAGGCTGGTCTTGAACTCCTGACCTCAAGTGATCTGCCTACCTCGGCCTCCCAAAGTGCTGGGATTACAGGCATGAGCCACCATGCCTGGCCAAGTCATCTTTTATTATCTCTTCATCCTAGTAAATATGACTCCTATATGGATCATGCCTCCAGCAGACATATGGGAGAGGAAATCACAAGGCTAGAGATGTTGAGCTGGCAGCCATTTCAAACCCCTGTCACTGTCCTTTTAATACTGTTTGTATCTATTCCAGTTCTGCCGACCAGAGGGGTCATTATCCCAGCAAGTGTGTGGTGGAGCAAATCTTGGTCTTAGGCCTCAGGAAGGAGCCATCTTCTGTGATTACCCACTCATCCGGTGAGAAAGCAGTCCATTCTGACCTCACCATTTGTTTTTATAAACAGAATTATCTGGAGAGAAGAGATGATTAGTCCCCAAACCGACATAATATGCTTAGTCTGAGTGGACTGTGTGCTTCAGGTAGAGGTGAAATATACTAGTCTCTAGAATAAATGATGCCATCTTGCTTCTCTTCATTAGTTGATCTTTCTGCTCACTTTTAGTGTTTTTCTAAGGAAACTTATTTGGGGCTTGAAATAGTATTATAGCTTCTCTGAATATTTGTTTAAACTATAGCTATCTGAAGACCTGGAGAATCCTACCCATGTGTTTGGAGTTTATGAAAGGGCAGGATGGGACTTAAATCCTTCCTTGCTTCCTGAAATTGTTAGACAAATTTATTTGTTCCTTATGGTTTCTTTTCAGCCAATCTTGTGCTCAAAACAATGAAGTTTTCCATGTTTCTAAAACTTCATGGAAGTTCATGGGTTAAAGTTCTATTAAATTGGAGTGGGGTATAAGGTTTTATACTCGAGTGAGAAAACATTTCAGATTTGGAGACAATATTTTTCCCCTCTGGAGATTCATCAAAATTTCCCTCTTTTATTGTCTTGCTGTTAGATGGTAAAGAGCAGCCTGTGGCTTTTATGTATTGTGCCAAAACATCCACCCTGAGTCTGAAGAAGCTCTCACTCAACATTGCCACTGACTGGGAGGTCCACATCATATGACAAAGAACTGCCCTTGGTGATGTAAGCAGGGACCTGCCTGCCCTTTTCACCCTTTCCCCTTGCCTTTTTTGAGATTTGCACTGCAATCTGCTTGCCTTCCCTGAGTCAAAATAATCTTTCATTCATTACCATTATACTAATGAACAATAGATTTCATGTTTTAAAATTTCTGATTTTACATGTAGTAGCAATATTCCTTGTGTCAGACATCACCTTTTTTCCTGGACACATACCCTGAGACATTTATAGTGTTCAGGACTCTTCCATTGCTTCCATTCCTTGAGCAGGGCTGCATGGGTCTGTTTTAATGTGTGCCAAGCCTACCTGGGCAGCCCATTTGCCAGGGCTTGCCTCAGGCCATGTGACATTGGCTCTTTGGCTGTAGCAGCTGAGTTGCTCAAGGCCAGTCTCCAAGTGGACAGCAGCCTCTGGTACTCCCCAGTTATCTTTCACCTACATGGAGTAGACAAAGCACAGCCCTCTTGGGTTTGTACTGCATGCTCTGCACCAGTGGGAGTTATTCTCCCCTAGAGATCAACTTGGCAGCACAAAGGATTCTTTTTCCTTTTGTGCTTCTCAGGCTAATCTTAAAATCCATGTCTTTTAAGCTGTTTTTTAATTAAGTGCTATCTACTAACCAAAGAATATTTGTAATATGAGTAAACTATAATTAATAACAATGAAATAAATACGTATGTTTACTTCTACTGAACTTCAGAAGTAGAACTCATGGCTGGGACTGGGATGAGGCAAGTGAGGCCCTGGCCTTTGGCACAAAATTTAAGGGATACCAAAAAATACAGTAATCGAAATAAGTAATATTTCAGTGCACTATTTTTAAAAATCAGAATTAATGCAAAAAATACCCATGATGAACAAAATATCAAAATTTAAAATAAAGACAGGATTCGTATTGCTGAGTTTTCCTTTTATCCCAGGCTTTAATATGGCTTGCCATGAGGCAAAACATTACAACGTACCAGTCACGTTATGATGCTCATGGATCTACAGACCCCTGTGGCTCCCTGCTGCCTGCTGCACCATCTGTTTTGACAGCCTCAACTCTTCAGCACTCCTTAACACACACCTCTTCTCATCAGGCTTCCTCCACTTAGCAACTTGCCAACGGCCACCTCTGTACCTTCTGATCCCTGGGCAGCAATATCCCCACCAACCCTTACTATCCTTCTAGGCCCAACTCAAATCTCACTTTCCCATGAAGCCTAACTACCCCAACACCCCTATCCCCACACCCATTAGCAGTGATTTTGCCCTTCCCTGAAATGCTGTCCCACTTATAACTGTGCTCTACTTAGCATTCTCAGGGATCATGTCTTAATGTTTCCAGTATGTCTCTGTTTTCCTATTAGATTGTATGTTCCTCAAGAGCATGTTCTATTTCTCTTCTGTCTGATAGAGCACCATTATACCTGACTTTCAGTAACTGTTCGGCTGTGATTGCTTAGCTGGTGGATTTAATTGATTAAAAAATTATAATTGATGTATTTCCATGTGATTTCCTTTTTTGACATAAGACTCTTCCCAAAGGCAATCAATATTGTGCATTTCCTCATGGACACATTTCATTGTATGAGTTGAGATTTGAGCTCTGCACCATACGTAAGCTCACAGAGACCCACACAGATTCTTTGCTCGTATTTCTTTAAGTTTTGCAGTTGAGAAGAAAGGAGCAACCTTGTATTAGCTGAAGTTATAGTTCCTATCTTCAGATGCCAACCTAAAATAAAACTTTGCCAGAAGACTGGGTGCTCCTCCCTAATATAAATGATAGTTTTTAATAGCATTTAAAGTTCAATAAGAACTATCTTTAGGTCAACATTTATAACATGTCTGTTCTTCCATTTAAAATATTGTTGGGGGAATGGAACAGTAACTAGTAGAGTAAGTTAATGAAGAACTGCTCTGTTTTGACCCAAATCTATATTGAAACATTTGGCTACAGACAAATGCAGAGAAAGTCTGGGTGTTTTTAATGGTTTTCTGTTCTTACTGCTTCTCACACTTTACCTACCTCCCATTGCTGAATTTGTGTGCTAGAGAGCAATATGGGGCTGAGTTGTCCTACAAGCATTAAATTACTTTATTGTGGATAATTCTTAATATGATTTCACAGGCAACTGGATTTTATGTAAGGAATTTTATTCATTTCAACAGGGTTCCTAAAAAAGCTCTAAAATGAATACATAGTATGTCTTTCCTTCAAGATGTAAATGTCAAGGAATGAGTTGACAAATCAGTTTAAAAACGGAAACTACCCAACAGAAAAATGTAAGTATAATCTTTCAGGATGGCAATCTGGCAACAATATCAAAAATCTTTTAGCCTGTTTGGGCCCAGTTTGAACTCCTGGGCCCAAATGATCCTCCTACCTTGGCCTCCTAAAGTGCTGGGGTTATAGGCATGAGCCACTGCTCCCAGCCTTACCTTCTCTTTTGGGACAGTTGGCAACATTGGAATGGGATCTTTTGATTATATGGTAATTTTTTTACTTTTAAGCATTGTGTTAGGATCATATACAACAATTTTCTTTGTTTTAAGGAAAATACAATTCTGGAGTTTGGTCTGTGTGCAGAATTCCTTCACTTTGTCACATACCTTTCACTATCAAGGCATCATAATGATAAGCAGCAGAAACACAGTCAAAGCACATAAACATTGGGAGCTCAATGGTTTTCAGCTAATTAACCACGCTGCCTAATAAGCCTGAGTAATGAGATTCCTCTGACAATATCAAGCATTCCACTCTGCTTTTAGGATTTCCACCAACCAAACCCTCAGAGAGCTACTCTAGACTAAAAAACTTCTCAGGCCAGGAGATAGAAAGCCATCAGCAGCTCCACTGGAAACAGGCTATCATATTAGCCACTGACCACAGAGGCCATATAGCTAGCATTCTAGAAGAAATAACAGACATTGGCATCTAATATCAAATCTGCTTGTCTCATGACCAGCCTTGCTAAAAGCTCTAGTGCCACAGCAAGACTTGCCAGAATTAGACAGCTGCTGCTTTATTTTTTTCAAGACAGAGTCTCACTCTGTCACCCAGGCTGGAATGCAGTGACATGATCTCGGCTCACTACAACTACAACCTCTACCTCCCGGGTTCAAGCGATTCTCCTGCCTCAGCCTCCCACGTTGCTGGGATTACAGGTGTGTACCACCAGGCCTGGCTAATTTGTATTTTTAGTAAAGATGGAGTTTCACCATGTTGGCCAGGCTGGTCTCAAACTGCTAACCTCATGTGATCTACCCACCTTGGCCACCCAAAGTGCAGCAGCTGCTTCTTGACAGTTGTTTCCAGCCAGGCCAAATGGTATTAGACTGCTGTCTAGTCAGAGCCAGGAGAAGAGGAGCCCAACTACTTATATGCAAGGCTATGGCGATCTCATGCCTAATTCACATCAGTTAAATCTTATTCATACATTTACTTCGATGGGAATCAAGAGACCTGGACTCTAGTTTGGTTCTACAGTGAACTGGCCGAGTGATCTTGGCCATGGAATTTAACCTCTCTGCACTTTGTTAAAGAGAAGATCTCTAAGCCTGGTTCAGTGGCTCACACATGTAATCCCAACACTTTGGGAGGCCGAGGCGGGTGGTTCACTTGAGGTCAGGAGTTTGAGACCAGCCTGGCCAAACTTTTTAGTAGAGATGATGAAACCCCATCTCTACTAAAAATACAAAATTAGCCAGGCCTGGTGGTGCACACCTGTATTACTAGCTACTCGGGAAGCTGAGGCAGGAGAATCACTTGAACCTGGGAGGCGGAGGTTGTAGTGAGCCGAAATCATACCACTGCACTTCAGCTGGCGACAGAGCGAGACTGTCTAAAAAAAAAGAAAGAAAGAAAGGAAAGAGATAATCTCTAAAATTCTGTGAGTTTTCCAATACTTAACTGTAAAAATACATCAGATATTTCAAGTTTCCTCAGTTGCAAAATGGAATTAGTCAAACTTGCAGAGTTGTTCTACAGATTTAAAATATTTTATGTGTACAGAAAGGGAAAAACAGTAACATTACCAGGGAGAAACCTGGTAAACATCACTTTAGGCAAGTGATCAAAGTTGACATCACCTGTAATGAAACCTATCAATAACATGTACCCACAAATACAGTTTGAGGAGATGGAGATGGCCATGTCACATCTGTGATAGGCTTCCCCCAAATCCATAACCTCAGTCTAATCATGTGAAAAATATCAGAGAAATCCAAATTTAGAGTCATTCTACAAAACTCTTGACAAGTACTCTTCAAAAGTGTCAGGGTCATGAGAGACAAACACTGTGGAATTATCAGAGACTGGAGGACACTGAGGAGTTCTATCTTTGCAACTCTTTTGTAAGTCAAAAATTATTTTAAAATAAGTTTTTTGAAGGTCTCTTTGAAGTGGCTAGCTCCCAGTAGGCACTTAATGAGAGGTATTATAATTATAAGCAAGACATTGCTTCCAATGGTGTTAGAAATCCAAGAAATGCTTCTTGGTGGCAAAGACAGTCATTAGTTGGCAATGCTGTGCAACGGAAACCATTCTAGCCACAGAGATTACATGACCGTGGGTGAAGTATGTTATAAAAACTAATTATCCTTGAAGGGGCTTCTGGGAAGTGAAATGAGCTGCTGTTTATATACTCTTTATCTGCCCTTTGTTCATGGGCCCAAGTTGGATTTCTTCCTGATAGCATTGGTTTCCACAGCTGTGCCATTGAATAAACTTTGAGTTTGGACCTGTTCATCTGAGAGAATGTTTTATCCACAACAGCTAATGGAGCAAAACGAATGGCGCCTTGCCCTTTCTGTGTTTGATATACCTACCTGCTCTGACAAGAGGCTCACCAATGTCACACACTGCTGTTAGTTACTCACAGATGGTGCTGGCTGAGACAGCTAAGGAAAGAAAGCTCAGTGGGTGTGTGGCCCAAAACAGCTCCTCCGCCTGGAGCAGATGAGCCGAGACTCTTTGATTGCACCGGCAAAGCCAAAAGTGTAAGAAATTTCTCTTTGTGTAGGAAAATTTCATTTACCAGATATATAACACATGTTTATTAAGGGCCTTCTATATGCCTAAACCTGAGAGGGAAATGGGAACCCAGTTCCCAGCTTCACGGTCTTATGGGCAAACAGGAAGTTAAATAAACAGAAACAATAAACTGTGGGTCTGTGCTGTGAATTTCAGGGTGGGATAGAATGCTGGTTTGGGACCCAAACTTACAACAGTGGGGGAAGGAAACCCTACCTTTGCTGTCTGTGCCATTGGTGACTTTGAAGGTGGAGGTCCATCTTTTTAGTGCAGGAAGATAGGCCAGCCTCTGATTGGAGATGCTGTATACTACGTGAGCCTGGGCAGATTATACCTATTTCTGTGCTGTCCACATGCAGATACTCAGTTAATGCCCATTGAGTGAATGCTGATTTGTGTCAGCAAATGAATGTATCATTTAACCTGACCTAACTCCAAAGTAATATTAAATTCAGGTTTTCTCTAACAACACCATTTATTGAGTGCCTAAGACAATCCTGGCACTATGTTAAATGCATTACATAAATTATTTAATCATTACAGAAACCTAATAACAGAATGACTGTAATTGTACCAATTTTGTAGGTGAGAAATCTGAGACAGAACGGAAGAAATAACTCAGCTAAAGTTACACAGGTACAGCCAGTAAGGGGCCAACCTAGACTTTGAACTGAGGTGGTCAGCCTCCAGAGACCGCTGTCCTCTATTCTGCCTCCCCAGTTAAAGAGCGCTGGGCATTTTCTTGGAGGGACAGAAGGCTAGGCTGATGGTCCTGCAAGCCCAGACATAGAGTTCTTCAAAACTGCAACCCCAGGGATCAGGAGGCTGATAGTACTCACTATTTTACCTGTCACTTCCTACCTTCTTCCATAGCCGCTAACCTGGGATCACTGAGACAGGTTGCATGGAAACAGGCACGACTGCAGTCTAGGACATGCCTCCACTCTGCCATAGTTTAAATGTGGTCACCTCCTTTTTGGAGCTGGTATTGTGGGTAGAAGGCAAGGTGGAGGCCAGGCAGGCACTTCCCTTCCCCAGAGCCACTTATGCTTCATCTAAGAGCTCTGAAACCGGCTTCTTAGATGTGGCATCCCAGGATTTGACAGGCAGTCTGGTTCAGTATCCAGTTCCAACTTATGTCTCAGATACCTAATGTGGTGTGGCTGATCTAGTCAACATATAACCTGTACAGTAAGTTCTCACTTAAGATCGTTGATAGGTTCTTGTAAACTGTGACTTTAAGCAAAACATATTGTGTGCTATAGGGACATAACTCTTGTTTATATCAGTTAGCTTGGTTTTGCTACACAGTACATCATTTTGCTTAAAGCCACAGTTTACAAGAACCTATTAATGACGTTAAATGAGGATTTACTGTGCCCAGGTACACTTTTTGTAGCAGATTCAGTCCTAGTGTTTCTTTTGGGGGGTGGGGAGAAACAAGAGGTGGCAAGGTCAAGTACGCAGGTAGTGACAGGGAGTTTCTCAACCAGGGACTCTGATGAGTATGATTTTCCGTGCAGACATTTCCAATGAACACTGACCCAGAACATTCTAGAAAAGATGCCAAATCTAACATTGAATAATGTTCTGATATCCTAAAGTTTTAGGAATGAAAATCATGTTCTCTAAAATTCACAGAATATTTTCCTAGAATTCAGTACCTCCCGTTCACCCTAACTAGCTTCTTTGCAATACTGTTTTCCATTCATTTGGTGGCCAGTATTTGGGTGGTCTATATAACTGCCTACTCAGTAACATGTCAGCAGTTCTCAGCTAATTTCCAGCGTTCACCTTACTCAGATACTCCCTTTTCATTTTCTGACAACACTAGCACTTCATTGCAACAGAGATGTCCCTAGCCAGGTTCTCCTTTCTCTACCATGCAGGCTCTCTTGCCCTCATACTCACAGTGTTTCTTCACATCTATTTTTAGTTTTCCTGGCTCAAGCTTCTTCAGGCCACTGAAACACAACCCTCACTCTCTTTCTCTCTCCCTCTGACATGCATGCTGCTGATAGGAGCCCCCAGGTAAACATTGCTTCAGAAATCCTTTAGCACTCCTTTCTCAGGAAAACTTATGTCTTCAGGATTACAGCTCAATTTTTAAGATGGACATAACCCTGTACGACCTTCTGATGGGCTTTCAACTTTGAACTGGATATGGACACTTTTCTCTCAGATGACAGAATTACTCCAACTTCCCCTTTACAGTTGCTTCCTTTCCTTGAAGATAGCTGTATCTTGTTTTCTTTAAAAAGTTTTTTATTCCAGAGTCACTTGCCATGCCAACCGTTATTAGCCCATCTGTGGCTCCAAGGACAGCGGCTGAACCCAGGTCCCCAGGGCCAGTTCCTCACCCGGCCCAGAGCAAGGCTACTGAGGCTGGGGGTGGAAACCCAAGTGGCATCTATTCAGCCATCATCAGCCGCAATTTTCCTATTATTGGAGTGAAAGAGAAGACATTTGAGCAGCTTCACAAGAAAAGAAAGTTCTTTACGTGGACCCTGAATTCCCACCGGATGAGACCTCTCTCTTTTATAGCCAGAAGTTCCCCATCCAGTTCGTCTGGAAGAGACCTCCGGTGAGTAGCTTCCTGCTTGCTGGCTGGGTTTTCCCCCCACAGAGGAGTCCTCCCACTCAGCACCTCCGGCAGCTCAGCTGTGCACATGGGCACTGGGGGAAGGATCCTAGCAGCGGCTCTACTGGGTTCTGTCCTTAAGTGTGAAGCAGGGAGTAGAGGAACAGGTCTTAGATATTTCACCAAATCTCAGCAAAATCCAAAGGGAGAGTAGGGAAGCAGAGCTGATTCTGGTGAGCAAGGCCCACCTAAAAAAAAAAAAAAAAAAAAAAATCTTGCCTTTTATAAAAGTGATTGGAACTCAGTTTAATTCATTCTGTAAAAATAAATATTCCATTTTCAGAACAAATTCCAGACAGCCCAGATCTACTCTTTCATTTTTGTATCTTTCATCTTTGTAAAATTACTTCAGTTTCTCTAGATAAAATCATGATATTATTATTCTTTAATTTACCAGTGGCTATATCTTTCTGAAACACAAAAACTCTAGAAAGAGGAGAATCATAGGCAAGCAATATTTTTTCATGCATAAAATGTTAGGGTTAGAGAGAGAGACCTAGCAATCAGTTTTGTCCACCTGCCTCACCTCATAAATGAGGAGCACACCAGAGGGAAATATATCCAGTGGGCACATGACAGAGCCCGGATTAAAACTCCTTCTCTTTTGGGAAACTCTCCCGGCCTCTGGGTTTCATTTATAGTGATCACCAGGAGGGAAATCACATTCCCCTGGCTCACCTCTGTGATCTTGCCTCCAGTGTGACTCTTGTTCTTAATTCAAGGAATATTTATTGAGCATCTACTAGTGCCAGCACTGGGCAAGCAACTGGGGGGACAGTAGTAAGAAAGAAAGACCAAAATTCCAGCTGTCTTGGAACCTAGGGTCCTGAAGGGAAGAGTGGCATTGAACAATAGTGACACTGTCAGGAGATGATGTTCTGGGTGTCACAGAATTATGTGGCAAGAGGAGCTAACCTGGTCCAGGGAGAGTAACCTTCCCTGAGGAAATAATGGCAAGCTGAGACCCAGTGCTATTTATCAGCAATGTTTTTCTTTATTAACCTAAGATGGGCCAGGCACGGTGGCTCAGACCTGTAATCCTATCACTTTGGCTCAGACCTGTAATCCTATCACTTTGGGAGGCCCAGGCTGGAGGATTGCTTGAGCCCAGGAGTTTGCAACCAGCCTGGGCAACATAGCGAAACCCCATCTCTTTTGTGCTAAAAATTCAAAAAATTATCTAGGCATGGTGGCACATGCTGTGGTCCTACCTACTTGGGAGGTTGAGGTGGGAAGATCACCTGAACTCAGGAAGTTGAGGCAGCAGTGAGCCAAGATCACGCCACTGCACTCCAGGCTGGGTGACAGGAGTGAGACCCAGTCTCAAAAATCAACAAGAACAACAAAAGAAACCTGAAGGAAAATATTCCCCAACACTGTGTGTTCCACAGGGGCTCTTCTGGGTTCTTTGCTAAGGCCCATGACTGTCCCGAAGGCCCTCAGTTTAGGAGATAACACTGCTCTGCTATCAGAGTATTTGGGCATGTCACACGCCCATACTGAAATATCTTCGGTGACATCCCTCTCAGCCCCCACTGCCTTCAGGACAAGTCCAAATTCCTTAGCCAAGCCATAGGCCCTTCTCAGCTGTTCCCTGCCTACCTGTCCAGGCCCATCTCCGCCCTCTTTCCTCGGATCCTGACACACCAGCACTGCTTGGACATTGAGCTGCTCTGTTGTTCCAAGTCTTCTCACACCAGAGGCCTTTGCTCATGCTGTCTGTCCGCCTGGCATGCCCTTTCTGTTCTTATCTGAAACTGCTCAGGTGCCACTTCCTTCATCCTTTCTCATGACTATTTCCTTCTCACTGAAAGCAGAGACCCTTCCTGTTCATCTCTGATGCCCCCTCATATAGCACAGGCCAGTCCCATAGTGGGTACTCAGCCAATGCTGGTGAATGAAAACCCACACCTGAGGGCCTTGACCAGGGAGATAAGATGGTCTTGCATTCCTAGGCAGGGAGTTCCTAAAAGCCCTTTCTTAGGCCAGACATGGTGGCTCATGCCTGTAATCCCAGCAGTTTGGGAGGCAGCGGTAGGAGCATCTTGGAGACCAGCCTGGGCAACATAGTGAGACACCATCTCTATTTAAAAAGTTTAAAAAAATAAAAGCCCTTTCTCAGAATAGGGAGAAAATAACCTACAAATACTGTTTTCAGTGAAATCATTGGTGGACTTGAGTCTTAAATCTATACTTATAAATTAATAAAAATGCTTTCGGGCCTGTTATGTCCTAGGCACTAGATTGGTCTGGAAACTTATACTGGCAGTGTCTTTGTGTGAAATGAGGGGTGCAGAAGACCTGTCTGTTCTGAATTGTGCCCCCACCACCACTATCACCAACAACAAAGATCCTGGATTTTCTACTGTTTGAGTCACTAAAGGATCAGATAGCAAAGGCCACTCTTGGATGAAATGCCCACACGTTTCCCTGGGGTTAAGATCACAGGAACACTGCCCAGTGGGTTTACTAGCATAAATGAGAAATGAAGAATTAGAGATGATCAGAGTTGGAATGCATCTTGGAGAGGCAGTCCAGTGCCCTTGCTTTACACGTGAAGTGATTAAGGCCCAGAAAGGGCAAATGACTTATCTAAAGCCACACAAGTTGACTTGAAACTGAAAAACTGAAATGACTCCAGAACTTTCTGACTGTAAAGCACTTCTTGGAGACATCAGTTCTCCATGAATTTCCTCAGTTGTAGTGACCTTTGCCAACCCTGAGCAGTCTGAAAAGGCTGTGCCCTGTCAGGAAAAGCACCAGGCAGGTGAGGAAAGGCCTTCCTGCTTTTACTGTCTAAGGCACAGAACCTTTGGAAACCAATCTGAATTTTTTTTAACCATAACTATTATTTATTATGATTATAGTGATGATAATTATAGCGATGCAGGAAGAATTATTCCTGGACAACTATAATTCTGGTTCAAATAGCATGCTACACTTTCAGCCTTTCCCTCTTAATAGAAAAGAGGCTGTGGCCAACTGTTCCCAGCCCTGTAATCTCTTCTCTCACTTACCACTGCTACCTCACAGCCTTTCTTCCTCTATTTGGGAGCATCATGCATTCAATTTCCAGTCCAAACAATGTGATTCCTCTAGCCTTTCCTTATGTGATCTATTTCTAGGTTCAGAAAGCAAACAAATTATTCAATATGTATTTTTCTCTCTCCCCCTTCCCTTCTATTCAATACTTCCCAACTGTTAAGGCAAGTTTTCTTGATGACAGATCCCAGGGCAGAATAGAATGGCTTCTAGAACAGGGCTTCTGGGATGCTGGTGCCCAGTACACTAGGGATATGTTGGGGATGGGAGGGCAGGTCATGTTTCATTCCATGGGGTGGAAGGTTCAGTTGCACCACGCTCCGGGCCTCTCTCCTTCCCTTGGTGGGTTTGTAAAGAGAACTTGACCTGTAAAGTCTGATTCTTGGCTTCCATCTTTCTCTGGGAAGCAAGCTGCCTGCAAGAAGCATGGCTTCTGCTCTCTGCTCCTCCTTGCAGCAAGTTTTCATGAGTCAGGTCCCCACGGGGAGTCATGCAGGAGTCCCTGAGCCACCTGGTAATACGTGGTTAATAGTAAAGATAGTCGATAATCTTGAGTGAGAACTCACTGCATGCCAGTAACTATTCTAAGTGCTTCCCATGTGTTAATTCATTTAATCTTCAACAATCAAAAATTCAACAATCCTGGGAGGAAGTACGATTATTGTCCCACTTTACAAAGGAGGGAACTGAGTCTCAGTTAAATAACTCGCTCCAGATCTCCCAGTCGGTGAAGGTTGGAGCTGGGATTTAAACCCACACAGTCTGGCTCTAGAGCCCCAAATCTATGTGATTCTGAGATTTAGATGTTAATCTCTGTTTTTATTAATAAATATGGCATTCTGAACTCCCACCTGCCCTGCACTTTGGTAGTATTCCTTTATTGGCTCAAAACTCGGACATGGAAATAAGGTGTCATTTGTTGAGCCTCCTCAAGACACAACAGGTATTGAGTGACACCCCAGGGGGTGCCCCTGAAGGCAGGAGCCTCTGTAAGTTGGAGATGGAATGGCACAGTAGCTAAGAGCCCAAGCTCTGAGGTCAGGCAACCCATGTTCAAGTCTTAGCCTGCTACCTAACACTTAGGTAATCTTGGTCACATACTTACCCTCATTTTGCCACAGGTTCTCCATGTGAAAATTGGAGAACAACCATAATAGAAGAACCCATCTCATAATTAATTGAGGATTAAATGAGTTAATGCAGGCTAAAAGCTTAAGACCAGCACATGGGTAAGTGCTCAGTAAACATAGACTACTCATTACTGCCTACAAGACCTGTGCCGTCTCTTTAAAGCAGCAGTATCATAAACATTTTTCCACCTCAATTTGTGGCTATGACCAGTCAATATATTTACTATGGTACTGATTTGGGTACCTCATGCCTGGTCTAAATGCATCTGTCCATCTCAACATGAGGACATACGTGTGAATGCTCCCCTCATGGGCAGGGGACTGCTTGTCCTTTAGAGCAATTCCAGTTATTTACATCAAATATAAAATGTATGTTTGGTTGTGAAAATGTGGGTGTATCACAGAGCCAGGAAGGTGACTACAAAAGAGTGATCACACTTGGCTGGGAAACTTGGCAACTTGCTCAATGACTGG